AGTGGTGGTAGTGGTGGTGGTGGTGGTGTGTGCCCAGTGGGAACCCACCAGGGCCACCAGTGCACGTCCAACAATTTGGTGGCTGTTGTTGTTGTTGTTGGCAGCCAGTGCGCACAGTTTGCTGAATCGATATTAAAATGCCATCAGCAGAGAGAAGGAGAAGAGCCCAAATCGCAGCAGTAGCAGCAACCGCAGTGTCGATTCCAGTGGCTATGCATTCGCCAAAGTACTGCGTATGATTCTCTGCCGAAATATGATCGGAGCGAAAAGGAAGAGAGAACACAGTGGTTTGTTTGTCTTTTTGTTTCTCTCTCTCTATCTCAGTTCAGTTCAGTTTAGTGCGACGTCTGGTCTCGATCAGCGACTGGAAAGGAATACTGCTGCGACAAGCACTGCCGCCGCCACCACTGATATCACAAAGTGGGCAATTGAACGGCTGCTGCTGCTGAATCGTACCCAGTGGGATACTTTCTCTCCCTCGCAGAAAATGAGACATCTTAGGATTCTGTTTGCCGCACATTGCTTTCAACTCTGTCGCATCCAATCAGTGGAAAAAAACTTTGTTGTTTTCTTTTTCCCCTCCTCCTCAAATGGCCAAAACTTTGTTTTTCCCCGCTGGGCTCAGCATCAGCAGTAGCAGCAGTTGTAGTTACTGATGACATTTTTTGAGCTAACATCTTTGCTATTTCGTAATTTTTCCCTCACCAGGACGAAGTGGTGGCCATCCTGGGGAAGGGCGACGTCTTCGGGGACGCCTTCTGGAAGGAGCCCACCATCGGCCAGTCTTGTGCCAACGTTCGAGCTTTGACCTACTGTGACCTGCATGCAATCAAGCGCGACAAGCTGATTGAGGTGCTCAACTTCTACCAGGCCTTTGCCAACTCCTTTGCCCGCAATCTGGTGCTCACCTACAACCTCCGCCACCGGGTAAGAGCATTTGAGGGAATGTCATTTTTGAAGGTGTTCAACTAACTAACTTCTTCTCCTCTTTCCCTAGCTCATCTTTCGCAAGGTGGCCGACGTGAAACGGGAACAGGAGCTGGCGGAGAAGCGGAAAAATGATCCGCAGCTAGACCTCGCTCAGGACCACCTGGTGCGCAAGATTTTCAGCAAGTTTCGCAAACCATCAGACGGGGTGCCCTCGTTGGGTGGGGCCAGCGGCGTTCTCGGTGGCGCCTTTAGCCGTCCGGGCACGGCCAGCGCCCCCAACACGGCCGCCTCCGCCTCTGCCGCCGTCGACATTGAAAAGGGCCTCGGCGGAGGAGGTGGTGGTGGTGATTTGAAGGGAAAAACTTCCGCCTCTGAGCCGGAGTCCCGGGTCGCCTCGGCGATGGCTGTCAAGACGAGCAAGTGGGCGGCGGCGCTGGCGTCCAGAGGAGCTGGAGCCCCCTCGACGCCTTCTTCGGCTGGAGGAGGTGGAGGCGGGGGCGATCAGCAAGGAGGCGGTGGTCAGCAGCAAGCTCAACAGACGACGACCACCTCGGCCGCGGACAGAAGTGGAGGTGGTGGTCGAAACGTGGACGATGACCGTCAGCAGCAATCCCAACAAGGACAGGGCCAGCAAGGGCAGTCCTTTATTGACAAGCAGTCGAGCGACCGCGATGACGCCAACATGGGCGCCGTCCGGCGGACGGAGCTGGTCTGCCGCAAGTCGGACCACATTCAGGTGGTGAAGGACATCAGGCCGCCGACGCAGAGCAACAAATGGCCGAGGGTTGCTTCCAGCAGCGGCAGCGTCCGCCACGAGACGATTGAAGAGTCGGCGGAGGACGCAGAGGTGGCTGCCAAGAAAGGAAGTGATGGCGGAAGAGGCGGTGGAGGATTTTTGGCCGGAGTACTCGCCTCAGCTGCTGCTGCCTCATCTGGTGGAGGTGGAAAAGGAGGAGGAGGTGGTGCTGGTGCTGGTGCACCTCGCTCTGACACTGCTGACTCCAATAAGATGGTGATTGCCCCGGCGAGCATCAACAGCGTCGACTACCAGCAGATAGTCGCCTCGCTGGTGGACATGCGCATCGACCTGAAGCTGGAGATTCAAAAGCTGACGACGAAGATGGTGCGAATTGATGATCACATCACCGGCATCACCCGAAAGCTGGCCACGCTTAATCTGCAGCAGCCGAGCATTGAGGAGGCGGTGCAGCAGTCAACGGCCATGGCCACAACCACCACATTGGCTGCTGCTTCAACCACGGCTGCAGTTACTTCCGGTTCAGTGGCGGGAGTTTCTGCAGCGGCAGCAGCAGGGGCAGCTCGAAAGGCGCCTCCCCCGGCCCTCTCCGGACAACAACAAGTGCTCAGCAAGTCGAGCACCATTGAGGAGGTGGACGAGGAGGCACTGGCGACGCCCACCTCGACGGTGCCACCGAAGAGTCGGCTGTCTGCTGAGCCGAGCGTGCCCCCTCCTCCTCCTGTAACTGGTGGCGGTCACCACCGAAGCTCAACCAGTGGCAGTGGTCACCACCACCATCGATCTTCTTCAGGGGCAGCTGGCCCTTCAGTGCCTCCAGGCTCCTCTACTGGAGGAGTGCACAGTCGCTCGTCGAACCTCTACAACACGCGAAAGCACGCAAAGGCGAAAGACGCGGGAGATAAAAGGTCGACGACGACCACCACCACGGCCACTGCCTCTGCCTCTGCCTCTGCTGCTGATGATGAAATGAGAGCGATTCTGGAGAATGAAATTGCCGAGCAGAGGGGCGGAGGCGGCGTCGGTGGTGGTAGTGGGACGCTCGGTGAGAACAGCGACGAGGACCAAGATCTGACGAGTAAGCTCTGACGCTCTCTCTCTCCCTCTTCTGTGGTCACCACTATCTTCCCAACTCACAACTCTTATCATCACCTCAGTTCTGGAACGAGTTCTGCCTTGCCTTTTCATTCGTTCACTCACTCACCCACTCACTGCTTTTTCACTGTCATTTTCATGGCCAACAGGTACACTACCACATTATTTCTTCGTACCAGCAGGTCATCACCCCTCTTCACCCCTCACCCCACCCCAACCCTCATCAAATCCCTTTCCCCACCTCTTCATCATTTTTTTTCAAATTGTCACCGCTTTTAGTTACCACCACTTATTTTTTCTTTCTTTCACCTCTATATTCTTTTCCGATCCTCTGATCTCTTCTCTTTTCTCTCTCTCTTTCTCTCTGTCTTTTTGTGATCTACCACCACCACCACTGACACAACTCACTCTTTCTCACTTTTTCCTTTGTTATATTCTCTATCTCTCTCACTTTCCTCTTATCTGCTGAATATATCTATACTTTTTTGCAACTAACAATCATTTCAATACTTTCCTTTATACTAACGCTCTTCTCGTTTGCGTCTCCTTATTCTTGATGCTCTTTTGGCAAATTTGGCGGCAGCGAGCATGTGACGCAGCTGGAATTCGTCAGGCAGTGCTGCTGCTGCTGCTGCTAAAAGGAAGGTAGAAAAGACTGCGTGTTTGTTGCCTTTGCAATTAGCACTTGGACGTCAAGTGAAAGGAGTCACTACTGCAGCTACTCTTTCACTCGCTGTCACAAGAATGTCACACGTCGGAGTGATGCCACCTGTGTGCACTGCCGCCACCGCTCTACCAGCATCGTAGTGTGCCCACTTTTGTTCATCAATAGCTGTGACATCAGCTGAAGCGCAAAAGCAGCTGCTGCTGGTGCTATAAGAGGTAGTGATGCGGCTGCAGAGTCATTGATTTTCAGACAAACGCCGCTGCTGCAAAGTAGACAACAAAACAACTTTGATTTTGAGTTTGTGATTTCTCCACACCTTAACAGTCCAAAACATGAAGCATTACGCTTTTACTCTTCTTCTCATCCTCTCTTCAACACTTCTGCACTTCTCTCTTGCTGATGATCTCTCCACAGTGGACTCCTCTTCAACATCAGCCCCTCTGATCGGCGGTCTGAAGGCCATCGCCGTGAACAACTCGCTTCTGCTGGAGGCGATCACCGCCGTTCGGCCGCAGATGGCCGTCCACCTCTCCGCCCTGTCGCTCTACGCCCACCGCCTGGGCCCGGTCACTGAGGCCTACTCGCAAGTGGTCGCCGGGCTCAAGTTTTACGCCGGTCTGCAGCTGGCGCAGACGGACTGTTTGAGGGCCAATGTGAGCAGCACTGGTTCAGCAACGCCTGCGGGAGCATTGCTCGAGGAGACTTCTCTGGTGATGGTGGGAGATCAGCCAAACAACAACAACAACAGCAGCAGCAACTGTACGACCACGCACAGTCGTACCTGTCAGGCGGAGATTTGGGTGCAGAGCTGGCTCAACTCTAATGAACTGCTCGCCTTTACCTGCTCAGAACCAAGTGCTCTTTCTTCGACTTCAAGTTCGCCTGTACCTTCTCAGTGATGATGAGGATGATGATGACGACCATGTATGAGTGACTGAATCGATAAAACACTGACACTAAAAATAAAGAGACTGGCAACTGCAAGGAAAGACCAAACGGGTGTACACTGTTGTCCACTGCAGAGAAGCAGGTGCCCCCTGAGGCTGACCAACTAAACCAGAATGTGTAAATGTACAGAATAAACCATTGAAAATAGACAGGTTCCAATGTTGTCCGGTAAGAACGCCATCAGCGTCGCCATCTTGTAAATGGCGTCAAAAATCGTTCATGAATTTTATTTTTCTCGTGTTCAGAAAAAAAAGTAAAAAATAATTTTTTTTTGTAAAACCTCTGCTGCCATCTAATGTCAGTTGAATGAACTAAAAAAATTCAATTAGTCTGATTCAATGTAGGATACTCCTGAAAAATCGGTTTAAGGCACCAAAACTACTTTTTATCGATTCGCTTAACGTAATTGTAATGAGTAATAATAACAAAACAGATTTATTTGTATCATTTTAACGGGATATAGAGGTTGAGGAGTTTGTACAGGAAACAAAAACAAAGAATGGAAACTAAAAACTACTGCATTGCACCTTCAGAAGAGAAGATTGTACAGCTCTAGATGCCTGAAGTCGACCTTTTTGCTGTCTGCCGCCCAGTCCGCCTGACCTTTCTCCAGCTCTTTGAGCAGGCCATCCATGGTCTCCAGTTGCCGCCTGAGCAGGTCGGGCAAGTTTGAGTTGGAGGAAGTGGCGGAGGATGAGGATGGTGAGGATGATGAAGCATTCGCTGAAGAGTTTGCCGAGGAGGACATGGTCAGCGAGAGCAGTTTACTGTGAATCGAGGAGGTGGCCTTGGAGAGGCTTCCCCCACCGCCGCCGCTGCCACCACCACTGGCTGCTGAATTTGCTGCCCCTTGAGAAGATGTGCCACTGTTGTTGCGATAGCACCTGGCCAGCTGAGCCCACGACTCGGCGTGCAGCTCTCCCGTGGTGAGTGTCCATTTGTCAATATACGCCTGCAGCTGCTCACCCTCCCGCGTCAACGCCTCCACCTCCTTGATGAAGGTGGTGAAGGAGCGGAGAATGGTGAACATGCCCTTCATCAGCGTCTCCACCTGCTGGAAGAGGTCACAAAGCAGAGCGACCATTTGGTTGTTGGGCGTCGCCTGACGGCGTTCCTCTTTCTTCTTCTTGCGCAGCGAATCGTACGCGGCTAGGATGTCATTGTAGCGGCGCATCAGCGTCGAGTCGACGCCCGAATCGGCGGACTTGAGGAAGTTCTCAAAGAGAAAATTGCCCGGTGGGTTTGCCGATGAGGTGGTGGTGGCAGTGGTGGAGGTTTTATTTGTACTGGAGCCAGTGCCTTCCTTGCTGAAGGAGGGCACCGCAGAGGCGGTCCGCTCAAAGAGCGAGCGCACCTTCTCGCGGCGAAACATGTGAATGGACTTGAGAATGGTGGCCACCTTCAGACAGAGGTCTACGGTCGCTTTCAGGGTGCTCTCACTGTTTTGGCTGTGATGATGATTATTCAGGTGGTGGTGGTGGTGGTGGTTATTCGTCGGAGATGATGACGAGGAGGATGATAACTTTGAATATGAGGATGACTTTCCGAGAGTGACTGGTTGCTCGAGCAGTGGCTTTGTGGAAGCGGCTGCACTGCTCTCACTCATCAACATCGACCTGACCTGGCCGACGCTGAAGCGCAGATAGCCGATGAGCACTTGGGCCGAGGTGAAGAGTGCGGTCAGCGATGCGGCCAGCTGGTGATGCCTCGTCTGCAGGCGATTGTAGACGTTGATGCAGGTGAGGAGGGCACTCTTCAGCGCCGAGTGCAGAATGTGGTACTTCTTCACCGACTGGCGGGCCACCCAGACGCAGTGCCGCCAGGTGAGCTTGATCTCGTCGTAGTCCATTGCCCGGCTCGGCTCGAGCAGCATCCGCTCGACGGTGGAGGGCAGCGTCAGCGACTTGTAGAACTCCAGGTACTCCAGGCCGCCCGGCTTGCTGACGTCAAAGACGTACAGGACGACGGGGTTGTACTGCTCGAACCAGCTGGCAGGTCGGTACCAGGTGCGGATGATCTGCGCGCCGATTGCCTCCTGGGCGGCCTCGCCGTTTGGCAGCACCAGATAGTGAGAGGTGGGCGGCGTGGCCGTGTTCACCGAGAGCTGTCGTTTGAGACTGTCCAGCGTCGTGCCCTCCTCGATCTCATAGGAGAAGGTCTCGTAGGTGTCCAGGCTGAAGATCTGCACGACGTACTTGTGCATCAGGTCGCTGATGCTCTTGAAAGCCTGCTGGCCGCCGCGTTTGTTGTGGTCGTACTCGAGGACAATCTGACGTGGTTAGATAGAATGGAAAGAGATGTTTGCGTTAGAGTAGAAATGTCAAAACGCTATCTTTCGTGTGTATGTTATTTTACCCTCCCCCACAGTTTACCACCCCCACTCACCCTCAGCCAGGCCTCCAGGTCGACCTTCAGTCGACTGCAGATGTGATTGAACTGCGAGATCTCGCTGCTGAAGTAGAAGTTGCCCTGTTCGTCGATCTCCGTGCAGATGTGCTGACTCGACTTGCGCTTCTTCAGCACCTCCAGTATCTCGCCCATGGAGTGGTTGGGCAGGAAGGGCCGCCGCCCGGTGGTCACCTCGTAGGCGAGCAGGCCAAAACTCCAGTTGTCCACCGCGGAGGAGTACTTGACGCGCAGAAACAGCTCCGGAGCGAGGTACTCGAGCGTGCCGACGAAGGAGTTGGCGAGCAGTGAGCAGTCAGAGAGTTGCTTGGCGTAGCCCAGGTCAGTCAGCTTGTAGAGCGTCTTGCCCTTGGCCAGCGGCTGCAGAACAATGTTCTCCGGCTTCAGGTCGCGGTGGATGATCTTCAGACTGTGTAGGTACTCCATGGCGCCGCCAATCTGCTTCAGTATCTGCCGCACCTCCTTCTCCTCGAGGCCGCAGCAGTTGTACTGGTTTGGTGAAGTAGACGATGATAAAGATAAACAAGGTAAACAAACAGTTTGATAAAAAAAGTGTTTTTCTATTTCTAAAATCTAATCCCCTTACCGGCTTGTTGAGCACCTTGCGCAGGTCGCCGCCGCTGCAGAACTCCATCGCCAGGATGGGCGTGTCGACCTTGAGCGAGGCGAAAGCCTCTGGGAGGTCGAGGGCCTTGACCACGCTGTCGCACTTCAGGCGCTTCATCATCTCGATTTCCTGTTTCCACTGGTCATTGTAATAGGCGCTAGCAATAAAAGTAGTAGTCGTAGTAGGCAATCGTTTGTGTTTGTGTTTACATCACGGGAAAGGCCCACGACAGGTAAGTAAAAGAAAAAGAAAGAGAAAGAGAAGAAATGAGAGGAGAAAAGAGAGCGGTGAGAAATACGATGACGCAATCGCAAGCAACAAACAACGACGACGACCACACGACCAGCATCAGCAGCAGCACTTACCTCTGCTCATTGACGAAGCTCGCCTGATTGCGAAACTGCTTGAGGGCGATGCGCTCGCTGCTGGCCGTGTTCAGCCAGAGGGTGATGATGGCGAAGGACCCGGAGCCCAGCGTCTGCTCGCGTTTCCAGTTCGACAGCACCGAGAGCTCGTTCAGGAAGATGACCGACTTTTGCTGCTGCTGCGGTGATTGCTGAGGCTTCTGCGGCTGCTGTGATGCTTGTCCGAGGATTGATGGCTTCTGAAGGAGGGAAGGTTGCTGAGTGGTGGAAGTGTGGAGAGGTAGTACGGAGGTGGACAGTTTGGTGCTCAGCTTCGCCTTAATACTAGGACTGCCCGTGGGCGTGTTGCCGCCGCCGCTGCCGGTGTTGCTAATCTCCATAATGGTCGGTGGGGTGTAAATAGGGGAGATGGGAGTTGAATGAGTGGGAGGATCACTGATGTGGTGGTGGTGGTCTTCGGTGGGGGATGATGGGCTAACCAAATCAGTGATGTTGCTTTCCAATGAGATGATTATGTCTGACGGAAGTTGCCTCTGCTGCTACTGCTGCGACTGAGATTTAATTGCGACGCTTTCTACGCTGCTGAGCGGTCACACAGCAAATTCCGTTCGACAGACACACCGACCTAGACAGGCAGCGCAGACACAGCTCCAATGTCTGGCGGTAGTGGTGGTGGTGGTGGATAAATAAACCTCACACAAAAAGGCAGATTTTGGTGATAGGCTGCTGATGCTGCTGCTGCTGTCGCTGTTGGCCGTGGTTAGTGCTGGACTGCGCCAGTGATTAGAATGATGCAGCATCAGCGACGGCGATGGTGGTGGTGGTGGTGGAAACAAGCGGAGACTGCTTGCGACTACGAGGATGACTCTCTCAAACAACAACTACCGCCGCCGTCGCCGACATCAGCAGACACATACAACAAAAAAGAGAAAACACACAACTCACAGTTAGTTTCACAGTTATACCAGCAACAACTGCTGCTGCTGCTGCTGCTGCAGGAACAGTCTCCTACTGACTGATCGTCAGTACAGAAATGAAAAGAAAGAGAAAAGAGAAGAGGAGAGGAAAAGACGAGGAGGTGGTGGAGGATAGCAACAATATATACACGGGGGCTTGAGCTTTGTCTGACTCGGTGTGTGTGTGTGTGTTTGTCGACACTTGATACGGCTACTCGATCCTACTTGATAGCAAGACGACGGTGATAGAGAGAGTGATGAAGGAGAAAACAACAGAGAGGCTCACATGGCACCGGTGGCGGTGATATACCACCGCCAGCACTACCTCAAAGAGGAGAGAATGCACTGACTGCTGGAACGTGGTGGTAGTAGTGGTTGTGATAGGTGGTGATCCACACTAACCTCGAGGCAAGGTGCTGTGGTAAATCTGCCAAGAACGACGACAGCAGTAATAANGGTAGTAGTGGTTGTGATAGGTGGTGATCCACACTAACCTCGAGGCAAGGTGCTGTGGTAAATCTGCCAAGAACGACGACAGCAGTAATAAAGCTGACAGCGGACAAACTGAGACTGAAGATGATGATGATGATGATGATGATCTGATCGGCAAAACCTCGTCGTCGTCGTCGTCGGCAGTAGCGTGCGGCTGCCGACAGCTCCTCAGCTCTTCTGCACTCAACACACACACATGCACATGCACACTGCAAGACAACCTTCAAATCAGGTTGAGTTGTTGCTGTCTGAGCTGACTGATGAGTAGTGGTAGGAAGGAAAGAAAGAAAGAGGCACTGAGACAGTCCTCGGACGGCAGACTAGCACACTGAAGAACACACTAACTCTAACTAGATAACCGAAGACGACGACGACGACAACAGGTGAGACGACTGAACTGGTGTTACTGTCAGCTGAACTCACCTGAACTGAACGCGAGAAGTAGCTAGAAAACGGGAGAAATATTGCCAAAGACAATAATTGGTAGTGGTGGTTTTCCAGAAATCACCACCACCACCATCACCACTGGCGGGGACACTTTTGTTGGCCATCATCTCACTACAGCTCGGTACTTTCGTTTCGCGCCGCAATTACTTGTTTGCTTATTTATTTTTGTTTTTTGTTGACAACAAAAGTAAAAGAAAGAGAGAGACAATTCAGACAATCAGGGGAAAAGAGAGTATTGCTGGAGTTGTGGAGAAGTGATGGATGTGCTGCTGCTTTGATGAACTATGACAAGAGAGAAGGAGACGGAGAAAGTGAGCGGGGATGCAATGATGGTGGTAGTGGTGATGGTGGTGAGGACGTCAGGCAGGCAATTACAGCGAGAATATATGGCCACATTAGCTGCCGCTGCTGACTCTGTCCCCTGGCAACACACAGCCAGCCANTGTTGACAACAAAAGTAAAAGAAAGAGAGAGACAATTCAGACAATCAGGGGAAAAGAGAGTATTGCTGGAGTTGTGGAGAAGTGATGGATGTGCTGCTGCTTTGATGAACTATGACAAGAGAGAAGGAGACGGAGAAAGTGAGCGGGGATGCAATGATGGTGGTAGTGGTGATGGTGGTGAGGACGTCAGGCAGGCAATTACAGCGAGAATATATGGCCACATTAGCTGCCGCTGCTGACTCTGTCCCCTGGCAACACACAGCCAGCCAGTCGTCGCTTTCTGGTTAACTTAATTATGTCATGGGCTGTGCAGATGCTGCCGATGACTGTGTATGTGATTGAGTGCCGCCTGTTGTTCAGTGAGTTGAGTGTTGCCGGAGAGACCAAGTGCTGCCGCCGCGGCCGCGACAACAAAGACCACTGCTGACGACAAAAAGAGATGGAAAGGGTGCAAACAAACGTGCACGATGGTGGTGATGAGGATGGGGATGGGGACGAGGATGGAGAGAGGATGAGAATGAGGATGAGGATGAAGTCAGCTATGGTACAAAAAAGAGAAGAAAAGATTGTACAAAGAGAAGGAGACAACTGATAGAGGATAAAAAGAAGGGGATGACTGAGTCTGAGAAAAAAGGGTACAAAAAATAATAAAAAGTAATAACAAATGAAAGGGAGAGGATACACTGCTACTGCGGGAAGATCACTATCAGGTAGGTAGGTAGGTAATCATTAAGAAGAATAATTGTAAAGAAAGAAAAAAGAAGTAGCTGTTTTGCTGCTGCTGCTAAAGCGGCGCCGCTGCCACTTCCGGTTTGATTGTACGACTGCTGCTGATGATGCTGCTGTTGTGGGTTGTTTGAGTGTGCTTGACAGTGCTTGATTGCCTGATTGTGTTTGGTGGTGGCTGTGCTTAGAAAGTGACAACACCGACGTCATCGTCGTCATCATCATCATCATCGGAGTGTATACACTGGTGTAATCATGCGATGTGATAATCATCATTAGCAGCAGCACCTCTACACCACCAGCACATTCATCATCTTCAGTCGATTAGTGGTGTGGTGTGGTTACTTTCGAGAATCACCACCACCACCACCGCCATCGGCGAGCACTGACTTGCACTTGCCCTTCAGCTGTCGCTTTTGGAAGCGACGAATGCGCTGGTGCCACTCGTCGCCCCAGTCAATGACGATGCTGGTGCGGTCGGCGATCAGTCGATACGAGTGGGAGGCGCCCAGGGAAGCGTCCTTCTGGTACGTGCCTAGAAAGAGAGAGAAAAAAGTGATGAAATTTCAGTGTACAATGGTTGATCAGACAAATGAGAGGAAAAACCTACCGAGAATGAGGTAGCTGTGCTTCATTTTCAGCTTGGGGCACTTGCAGGCCAGATCATCGATGGGCACCCACAGCGACTCGATGCTCTTCTTCAGTCGGGCGGAGCTGTGCTTGAAGACGTGCACCACCTGCAGCGTGAATTTGACCCAGTCTTCGATTGTCTCACGAGAGAGAACGGTCGCCTGGATGGCTGTTTAAAAGGGGAGGGAAAGAAAAAGAAAAACATTTTTGGAATTTAGAAGGCATAAAGAAGAAGCTCGGATTGGAATGCGTTTTTCTCCGCCTGTCCTGTCCCGTTCCGTCTAGTCTAGACTGCTCGTGAGTTGTTGATCACTAAGAGAAAGAGAGTAATTCCCCACTCATCCTTTTATGTCAATGGAATTTTTGGCTGCTGCTGCTGTTGTAGTAGTAAAAGCAAACTTTGCTTTTATGGCGCACACAAAGGAGAAAGGAGAGGCAGACTCTATCATCAAATAAGTGAAAGTGAAAGAAAGGCAGCAAAGAACATATACACACACTACCGAAACTTGTATCCAAAATTTGGTCTGGCCAACAAAGAAACAATAACAACAACAAAAAGGTCCGCTAGTCATCATCATCAGCAGGCAGTTCACGTTGTTGGCCGGAAGAGAGTGAGAGAATAAGTGAAAAAGTGAACAGAAAAGGCAGTGAAGTGAAGTGCGCTAGGAGCCGATCAAACTTTTACAGCAGCTAGCCAGTCAGCAGTTCAGCGCTAAATTGAATTACTGTTTGCCCAATAAATTGAAGAAATTGGCAAAAAGTGAGAAAAGAGAGAGAGAGCGGCTGATTGACCGAGTTCAACTTTTGGCGAAGGTACTGGTGGTATCCTGTCTGTTAAGTGCAACTTTTTATTGAACAACAAACACACACAGTTTTAGTTTTGGTGCAAAGTTGCAAAGGAGCACCTTTCCAAAAGGTAAAGGGGTGAAACAGATAAAAGTTTGCTGTTGCCGCAGCTCAAACTACTGTCCACTACTGTGCTGTGGGCGAATGTGTGCGTGGGCACAGACTAGGCTAGCCACCACATACTTGCCCTCCATTTGAAGCACCACCACCAGTCTGTCTGTGAGCAAATACAAGCAAAGTAAAAGCTCGAGTAAGTGCAATAATACCGCTAGGTCATCAGCGGAGACTTTTGTCAGCTCCCCACATCCAAGCTCCAAACACTGAGAGAGAGGGCACACGTGCCGCTCTTCTGTTCAATTCAGTGCCGATCCGAGTCAGTTTGCCTTCTGCTGTTTCTGTTTTGTCCTGCTCCTGCAGTTTAGTTAAAATTGATCACCACCGCTCAAAGTGAGAAGAGGGAGAGGGTGTCGGTGGTGGTGGTGGTGGTATTTGTGTTGCACTCTTGGTGCTCTTAGCTGTGACACCGTGGCCGCCACAAAGGCTGCTCAATTCGGCAAAGTGTCAATGCCTGTCTCTATTTGCCCACGCTCTCTCGTTCCACTCGAGACAGGCAACGGCAGCATCATCATCATCAGAAGGCCCCAGTATTATAATGGCTGTCCGCCCTCTCTGTATCCAAGTCGGTTTCGGTCTTTCACTCTGTTCTCTCTTCTGTTCAGTTCCATTCCTTCACCTAAAATGCGATGAGCACAATCTGGCCCACCGACCGACCCGTTAGTTAGTTAGTGTGACTCATTGACGGGGATTAGAGTGTTGGGTGCTGCTGCCGCTGTTTGCCGCCAACACTGCCGCAGCATTCTCTCGCCTGACAGAGAATGAGGAATTTAGCAGGAGAAGATCGCTTCGATTTATCGAAAGTCAGTGCCAGCAGCAGCACAAGAAGTGTCTAGATTTTTGCCTTCCTGTCAACCCGGAATTTTTTTCTTCTCCATTCCTCCGGTACTCACCAAAGTCCTTGCTGCAGTACTTGTGCAGGTTGATCTGCTGCGTCGATATTCGACACTCAATGCAGCTGTTTTCGGCTGGTAGGTAAAGGGAGAGAGAGGGAATAGAAAGATAAATTAGATTAGCATCAATAATTGCAACCAATAAAATCATAAAAATAGAGCATCATCACATCAGATACACTCTCAATACTGCTGAAGCAGTAGTGCAATGCTTAGGCATGCAAGTTGTGCACAGTGTAATGCACGGTGTGATGCAATACACCACTATTACTACAACTACTACTACTTACTCGACTCGGCGCTCGTCTCCGCAGAGGAGAAGTTGATTTCATTGCTCTGAGGTATTTCTGTCATCATCATCCGAGGATAGAGGAAAAGAAGAGACAGGTGAGGGAAACAGGTGAAAAGGAGAGAGAAAAAGAGGTGATGATTGAGCGTGTCTTATGCAAGAGCAACTCTCTCCGGTGCAGCAGACACAATAGACTACACCATACTTACTGATACAGGGCTGCACGGTGGACCTCGACTGCTGATAACCCTGCGCACGAGACAGAAGAGAGGAATACAAGAGAGAGAGAGAGAAAGTTGACTTTAGTAGGTGCAATGGGAGAGATGACGGGAGGGGAAATGATGGTATATCATCGGCAAAAGAAAAGAGAGAGACGAACTGCAGACAGCACTCTCTTTCTCTGCTATTGAATTTGCCTGTCTAGCCAACTACTACCATCGTAACTGCTGCTGCTCTTACCTTGGCGCATCGATTGCATGTGAGTCCGGTAACGCCTGGCTTGCACTGGCACTGGCCGCTGGTGATGTTGCACGTCCGCCCGGAGGAGCCCACCGGGTGGCAGTCGCAGGCTAAAGGGAAAAGAGAAAAGAGGGCACAGACAGTTTAGCTCTAGGTGTGAAAGGTCAACTCTCCTTACTGCTGACTCTTACCTCGACAGGCCTTGCGATGTGAGATGGGCTTGCTCGAGTCGCGAAAGTACCCTACGGTGACAGTGAAGTGAAGTGAAGTGTCAATGAAGTGAGCTCTGAAATGAAATCTGCCCGCCTGCTCTGTTTGCCTTTCTCCGCTTCCATCTGACCACCATCTGACCACCATCTGACCACCACTGACACACAGCAGTGCAAACAGCAGCAGTGGCCAGTGGCCACACCGACACACAAATAAATCATCGGCTCGTGGACAGTGGACAGTTGTGGTGGTGGTGGTCTTTAGGCAACGGTCACCCGAAATGTGGTCCAGCAATTGAATCCCGCAAGCGAATCCTCACTTACCCTCTTTGCAGTAGTGACAGTGCCTGCCGGCGGTGTTGTGTCGACAGTTCAAGCAGACGCCGCCGCTCTTGCCGCCCGACAGCTTGTACAGCTCATTGTTGAAGCGACACTTGCGAGCGTGCAGATTGCAATTGCAGGCTGGAGAAAAGAGGAAAAGAAAGAAGAAAGAGGTTAATGTCTCATTAGTAGTCGCACTCGATGCAATGCTCCTGCTGCTGATGATGATGATGAGCCCAGTGATTAGCACACGGGAGGAGAGAGACGGTGATGATAATTGCGGCTGCTGTCACAAGTTGTTGCTCTTTAGGCTCTTCATCTTTTCTTGTTGTTTGCCTGGTGTACTTTTTGTTATTTACTGCTGCTGCTATTGCACTCTGTCTCTGTCTATGTTTGTCTGTGTTTATCTGTCGAGTTTGTTTTTGCCTTTCTTTTTTCCCCTTTTGATCAGGCAGACAGAAAAGCTGCCGCCACCTCAATTAATTGGTGCTGTAATTAATTGAGGTGGCGGCGACAGAGTGCAAGCAAACGGAGAGCTAATAAACGGTAGTAATCACAGAGAGAAAAGCAAACTGAGGGGAGGAAACTGCAACTCGAGAACTGTCTACTCTCTTTCTTTTTCCCTCTTCCTCAAATTCTGAACAGAATTTTTTACTGAACACAAAACCAGCAAACACAGAAGCAGTGTGTTTAGTGCAAACAGCTTTTTCACTTCGCTTCACTTCATTTGCTGTTGCNGAACAGAATTTTTTACTGAACACAAAACCAGCAAACACAGAAGCAGTGTGTTTAGTGCAAACAGCTTTTTCACTTCGCTTCACTTCATTTGTTGTTGCTGCTGCTGCTGTTCCCTTCCGTCCTGAATGGGAGCTCATTTTTCAAAATAGTTTTCCTAGCGTTTCCCCTCGCTAATTCTTACGTGATTACTGCTCACACATTTTTGCTGTGAAAAGAAGCGCAAGCCTGCTGTTGCTGCTGCTCCAAAATCATCATCATCAACCAGCAGTAGTAGCAAAAATTGAGCAAAAATCGTTTGCCTGGCGGAATGTAACAGCAGCAGCAGCAGCATCACTCGAATCACTCGAATCATCGCCGCGTAAACGTTTGAGCTACCAAATTGCCCTTTTCTTCTCCTTTCCCATTTCTCTGGTACACCGACCATTCAAGCAGACCAATATCGAGTGTGTGTATGTGTGAATTAGCAGCAGAAGCAGCAGCAGCAGTGGAAAATGTCCAAATATTTATATTTAATAATAAATGGCAAGTTAAATTACAAATTGCTGGTGAACAGTAGCGCTGCCTCCTTTTTGCGCCTCATTTGGCGCCAAACGTTACCACGGCAGCAGCACCAAGATGCTTTTTGCTGCTGNCGCCGCGTAAACGTTTGAGCTACCAAATTGCCCTTTTCTTCTCCTTTCCCATTTCTCTGGTACACCGACCATTCAAGCAGACCAATATCGAGTGTGTGTATGTGTGAATTAGCAGCAGAAGCAGCAGCAGCAGTGGAAAATGTCCAAATATTTATATTTAATAATAAATGGCAAGTTAAATTACAAATTGCTGGTGAACAGTAGCGCTGCCTCCTTTTTGCGCCTCATTTGGCGCCAAACGTTACCACGGCAGCAGCACCAAGATGCTTTTTGCTGCTGTTGCTGCTGTGTGGCCCAGCTTAATTATCAGTTTGTAATATAGAAAAAAAAATGGCGTGCCAATCGAAACGAAACGAACGAGCTAACGAAAAAGAAGGAGCAAATGAACAACTTTGGAAACTCGGGAGACGGGCAAAAAACTGGTCAAGAGAGTGGGCCACCACTTTTCTCTTCATCTTCCTCTGGTTGCCAGCTGTATATTAGCTAATTGAGTGAGGAATTCGCAAAAAGTGGCAATCGAAAGAGGAGAAAACGAGCAGAAGAAAGAGGTCGCTGGGCCTCGGTGGCCTTTTAAACTGTGCCCAGCATTCAGCACTCCCAGTGTCCCTCTCCACTTTCTCCACTTCTCGAGAGTTCCACAAAAGGAAACAAAATCGGGAGAAAAATGGTGCCTTAATTTATCAACCGCCAGTGTGAGAGGAGAGGGCACGTTTGCCTGTTTGGAATCGGTGGTAGTGGTGCTCTGAAAGCTAGGCAACCATTGTCTAGGTGTGAAAAGAGAAAGAGAGTCCAAAATTGCCAATAACAGAGCAGGGAAACAGACAGACACTCTCTGGGGATCAATTGCCTTGGAAGAAGAAGAAGGTGCAGCAGTGAAACAGTGGGCAGAAAGCTGGCTAGATAAACAACAGCAAAGACTGCTGAAAGTGGCAACAACTTGGACTGTTTAGTAAAAGAAGGAAGAGGAATCTTAGAGACTGAGATTCCTTCTTCTTCTTCTTCTTCTTCATCGCCACCGCCATCATCATCATCATCACTTTTNGAAGGTGCAGCAGTGAAACAGTGGGCAGAAAGCTGGCTAGATAAACAACAACAGAGCACTGCTGAAAGTGGCAACAACTTAGACTGTTTAGTGAAAGAAGGAGGAAGAGGAATCTTAGAGACTGAGATTCCTTCTTCTTCTTCTTTTTTGCCACCATCATCATCATCATCACTTTCNAACTTGGACTGTTTAGTAAAAGAAGGAAGAGGAATCTTAGAGACTGAGATTCCTTCTTCTTCTTCTTCTTCTTCATCGCCACCGCCATCATCATCATCATCACTTTTGCCTCAGCATCAGTATATTTATTGGAATTGTCTGCTTGCGTGTTGATAGCGAGCCCGTGCGCTCAATAGTGTCCCGCCGATAATGGGCGCCCGATGCGAGGTGACTGCGCTCTCTTCCTTTCCTATCACTTCAATAATAGAAATAAATTAACTCGAGCATCGAAGGAGAGGGGAGAAAGAACTTCGAGATTCCTGATTCACTAGAGCTAACACTGTGATTTCAAACTGTAGATTTCAGTGAACTCAGGAGGGGGTGAATTTGAAAAACAGACGGCAAATCTCCGCTCAAAAGTTAGCTAGCTAAGCACCCGTCATTAGAGGATACAATTTTGGATCAAAAACAGCAGCAGTTCTATTTTCTAAAAGAAGAACAACGGGCCAACAAAATTTGTTCCCAATTGGTACAACCGATACAAAGAAAGTAAGAGACAAAATTTAGTAAAAAGAAAAAAGTTCAACTGAGATGAGACTCTACACACGCACGGAAGTAAGCAAGCAAACACAGGCAACTGAGAGAACTGCTGGATTACTACGAAAATGGAACAGCAAACAGACGGCAAATCACCAAATCGCTGCAAAAATTTACATTTATATTGATTAGGTAGTAGTAGTACCTAATGCAGCAGCAAAGTTCAGTTCAGTTCAGTGGCGGAGGAGAATATTCAATGGCTCCCTCAACCAAAGTGCCATTACCAGTGGGCTCATACTGCACTTGTAATTGCCTGATAATAATAATAAACTGACTGCTAATAACATTAACGACGACGACGTCGATCACCACGAAGAGACCCATTTGCTGCTGCTGCTTACTGCTTACTGCAAACGTGTGCACACACACACACACACACTTTGAGACTGTGTGGCCATAAATCGGTGGCCTTCTTCTTCTCTCTCTCTCCTTTTCACTCTGATTTGTTTGCTCGAGTCTTAGCAAACGAAGAGGACTAAGAAGGAGAAGAGCTGCCCCCACTAAAGAGGCAATCGAGCCTAAATATAGCCGAAAAGAAGAAAAGAAGTGGCAAATGGCGGTGGTCATTTGCAGCAGCAGCAGCAGTGTTTGTCTGTCTGCAGGAGGCAGAAGTTCCGCCGCCGACGTCGACGACGACGCTACTGAGGACACCACAAAAGAAGGTGAGAAGAGAGGAAAACGAGATCGAGAGAGGGATTCATTGATTTCACTTACACACACCTGTGTGTCCCCCTCTCCTTTATGATCAGACACTGTCTGACCACAGTTTGCCTCTCTGCCTTCACCTAACATCACCGCCGCCAAAATAGAGCTCAAGTTCGAGGAGCTGAAGTGAGCCTTGAAAATGTCCTGAACAGTCTCAGTCATTGGCATTCCGACGACTAGGCAGTCAACAGCGCACAAGCAACGGATTAAAAAGAGAGAGGGAGCAGACACAAGGCCGCCTTTGTCTGACTGATCTACCAGACTTCAGAACGAAGAAAAAGTAGAAGGAAAAGTTGAAAAAATGCAAACTTGAAAAGCTGAAAAAGAGTTTTGAACGGGGCAGTTGCCGAACCAAACTCAGTAGGGGTAATGCGCTGCAATGAGCTCCTCTTTAATGAGCACGAGGTGAAAGCAAAAAATTAAAAAGTTGAAGGCGATGAAGATGGCTGGCTGGCTCGCAAAGAGGAATTAGTTGCCATACATCAAAGAGCGGGCGCGCAGAGGACTGCCCCGAGAAGAAGCAGACAGGCTGAGAATTCCTCGCTCGTGAAACGTTCATATCATCGACAGCAGCATTTGGCAGCTCTTGGCTTGTCTCGTCGATTTTGTGGACTTCTCAGTCTCAGTCTCGACTTTTGTTGTTGTTTGTGTCGTGTGTGTGTGCGTTTGCGGTTGTAGTTTTTTGGGGGGGGGAAAGAATGCAAGTCAAGTCAGTGCAGAATCACTCTACAAAGAAGAAAAAGATGCGAGAGAGAGAAGCTCAATGAGGCTCCGAAAGATCGATTCCTCACTTCTCACTCACTCTCTCAGCCAGTCTGCCTGTCTGTCTGTCTCCCTGTCTTCGACGTCTGAGGCAGCAGCAGCAGCAGCAGCAGCCACCGCGCGACATGCCAATCATCGACTGTTCTGCGCTCTTGCCTGCCCTTTTCGACTGCCTTTTTCCCGTTGCCGTCGTCGCCAAACCGTCTCGACACGCTCAGCCATGCGGATGCTCTCTCTCGCTCTCTCTCCCCGAACACCATGAAATGGTGGTGTTGATGATGATTTGCTGCTGTTTTTGTTGCTTGCCAAACGATTTTACAGCAGGCTGCTGCTGTTCAATCGATTTGCCAAGCAGCAGCATCAGCAGCATCAGCGACAGAAGGTTGCCAATCAACGTCTGTCGGCGCGCAGCCTGCCACTGCCTCTTTCCCTCCCCGTCTAATAGATTAATTACAGCTAGTGTTAAAATCAAAGCTGGCTAGCAATTGCTGTGCAGTAAACACAACACAAAGCCAGTACTGTAAACTGTCGCAAAAGCCAAAAGAAAAAACGTTTGTTGCACTTACGCTGACACTCGGGCGCCTCCTGCGCGGTGGCCCGCGCCCAGGGCTGGTCAAAGTGAAAGGGCTTGCACTTCTCGCAGTCCCGACCGGCGGTGTTGTGCTTGCAGTCGCACGTCAGCTGACCTTCACTGTCGTGGATGCATCTGAAAAAAAGAGGAAGAGGAAAGGGAAGTGGAAGATAAAGAAGAAGAAGAAAACGGCAAAGGAGTTAGTTAGTTTTGGTCAGTGTCATCTTAGAAAGAAAGAGAGAACAGAGTAATAAATCACTTCCTAATTAAATCAACAAAAGGAGAGAGAAGAAGAGCATATGCAACTAGTGCAACAAAAGAAAGAAAGAAAGAAACAGGCCCCCCACTGTTGAAGACAGTGCAGTGAACGCGATTAGCAACAAAGCCAGTGGTGAAGAGCTGACTGCCTGCCTGCTTGCTTAGATGGTAATTGGGCCTAATTCAATTAAAACAATGGACAGCAAACAAGCAAGCACGAGTTGAATTGGTGGTCACTGGGAAGAAAAAGAAGAAGAAGATGAAACGTTTCTCTTACCTTGAAGCGTGGCCATTGCCTGCAGGAGAAGGAGAAAGAGGAGGTAGCGGTGGTCAGCAGCAGTGGTGGTCGAGGACGGACACGAACGACGACCAAGACGAGTACGACGACAGCGACCAAACGACCAGACATGAGATGAGACAAGAGTGGATGGGATGAGATGAATGAAACAAAAAAGAGGAAAAGAAGAAAAGAAAGAAGAACAAGGGTGAGTGAATGAGTGAGTGCGTGTGAGTGGCTGTAAATTAATAATCACAATAATTGCCCTGCCTGTCTGTGAGCTGGAGAACACACTACACACTACATTACTACNACAGCGACCAAACGACCAGACATGAGATGAGACAAGAGTGGATGGGATGAGATGAATGAAACAAAAAAGAGGAAAAGAAGAAAAGAAAGAAGAACAAGGGTGAGTGAATGAGTGAGTGCGTGTGAGTGGCTGTAAATTAATAATCACAATAATTGCCCTGCCTGTCTGTGAGCTGGAGAACACACTACACACTACATTACTACTACAAGCCGGTATCATCATCTCCGGCCCCATCTATTACAGCAACCAGCAAAGCACTATCAACCCTGCCTGCCTAGACAGGTGAATAATTAAACAGACGAGAGAATGAATGCATTCACGCCTGAAAGCTCAATCTCTCAATCTCTCAATTCATTAGCTACGACTATCAAACTAAAGTGAACTAGCGTTCTACGGTTACTTACATTTACAGCGGCCACCAACGGCCAGATCGGAGACGGCGTAGAAGATGCCCTCGGTAGTGGAGGAGGAGGAGGAGGACAAAGAGGTAGCCGGATTCAGCAGCACTCGATCACTGCTGCTGCTGCTGCTGCCGTTCATCTTCAGCTCGGTGCTGTAGTTCATCAGCGACTGCTCCTCATCTCCGCCCAGCAAATTTTGCTGCTGCTGGTCACTCTGCATGGCACTCATCATCCAAGTGCTCATTCTAGTGGAGAAGGAAAAAAGAAGACAATGTAATGAAATTAGATTAGATTTGGTAAGCAATGTGAGAGTCCTCACCGGTTGAAGACGATCTTGATGTCGGTGGCGGTCACCCAGTCCTGCAGCACCGGACTGTTGTCAAAGTCGTACGCCGAGGGCCGGCCCTCGAGGGTGCTGAAGGCGACCCGAGAGCCGGAAATGGGCTCGGTGTTTGAGTCGGCGCACAGTGGCTCCTGTTCATTGGCTGTGGTTCAGGTGACAAAGAAGTTTGATTTGGTTTGGTTTGGTGATGGTGGTGATGGTGATTTGGCAAAGCCGGATTCGAAAGAAAAAATGGGAAAAAAGCAAAAACAAAAAGAGTAAATCATGCGATCTGTGCTGCAGCGGCAACAACAACAGCGTAAATCAAGGGATTGTCTCTACAGCTCCTGCTCATCCTTGAACCTCATCCTCATTCTCTGCCGCCGCCAATCTGTGCTAATCTCCGCAGCTCTTCAATGCAACTTTTTTTCGATAGTCGTTGTTCAAATTTGCTGCTTTTTGCTCTGTTCTCTATTCCCCCTTCTTCTTCTACAACCACTTTGCAACTAACTAATCGAGAGCTTAGCATTCTCTCATTTTCGCTGTCGGCCAGAGAGAGGTGAGGCGGCCAAAGGCTAAGGCTGCTGATGCTGCTAAGGCTAAAGGCTGTTCAACTAAAACTATGGCTAATAATAGCGCGATGTGATGCTGGGCGATTACGATTATTAATGGGCCTGTAATGGGACGCGAGCGCCTAGCACTGATCAGGAGGGCACTTCTGCTTTGATGAGGGTAATTTCTGATGGCAGTGGCGGCAAGTGCGATCAATTCATGTGTTTGATCGAGAAGAGAGAAAACTGCAAGTTCAACTCTCTAAATTGCTCAATTCAAGCTGATGCCGATCGAGCAGGCTTCATCAATACCGAAGGATAAAAAAACTGATTGAGACATTGAAACTAAACGCTCTAAAAACTGAACTTTCATTGCCTCTTTTTCATTGCTTACCCTTGGTAATGGCCGCCCGATTCTGCCGTCCGTAGACCTTGCGGCACTGACTGGAGTAGTACTGAAAGGGATGCCATGTCTCGCCGTAGTCCATGCTCTTGAAGATGGCCATCGAGTCCGGCTTGGTGTCGCAAAATTGCAGACTAATGTAGGTGAGCTCGTACTTCTTGCCCAGCGACAGCGTGACGGTGACATTCTGGTTGGGGCTGCTGAAGGGCTCGGACATCCAGCAGGTGAGGTTGTGCGGGTTGTTCAGGTCGGTGAGGTAGTGGGGCGGGTGGCGGCGGCGGTAGTGCGCCCGGTCGCACAGCTCGCAGCTGCGCACCGTCTCGCCGGTCTTCTCGTCCGTCCGCAGGAAGCAGTGGTTGGTCGGCGTGGCGCCGCATTCGCTGGAAACCTAAAGAAAAAGGTTATAAAGTAAAACGATTAGTTTTCGGGTAGGCTGGCAGAGAGTTGCTGCTGCTGCTGCTGCTGCAAGAGCCGGTCACGGGCCACAAATTAGCACCACTGTCGCCGCTGGTGAAGCAGAACCAGCCTGGCGCCTAATGGAGCAGCAGCAGCAGATGTGATGGGAGCAGCCAGTCAAAAAATCATCGGCCATTAATTACCTTTGCGATCTTCCCGAAGGCGGCGTTCACAAAGTCGGGTATGCAGCGTTTAGGGTTGCCTGGGGAGGAGAAGGAGAAATCACAGAGGAAGGTTAGGAGACCAGATTGAAAACAGTTCTGCAATGTTGGAAGCAGCTGAAACTACGTGTCATGTTTTGGAGGAGGGTGGCAGAAAGGATACCCGAGAAAGGACTGAGTCGGGAGTGCCTGCCTGCCGACTGCCTGCACCGATTGATTGAGTGCTGCGTCATTAGGCGACGGCACCAGAAACAGCACCANAGCTGAAACTACGTGTCATGTTTTGGAGGAGGGTGGCAGAAAAGATACCCGAGAAAGGACTGAGTCGGGAGTGCCTGCCTGCCGACTGCCTGCACCGATTGATTGAGTACTGCGTCATTAGGCGACGGCACCAGCAGTTTCGGTGTCTCGGGGGCCGCCGCTGCCGATTCGAATTAATCAAAGGTTGCTCTGACTCTATTCGGTGCTCATGTAGGCGACTCTAGATAGATCTAGGCACATCGTCATTACCAGCAGCAGCATGCCGAGCACCTAAGTGAATTAGTTCAGTGCAGTAGTTCCTCTGGGGCATTGCTAGCCAATTTGCAACAGTGCTGGTGGTGGTGGCGGCGGCGGTGGCTTTATCTTGGGCGACCATTTGAGCTGCAGCAGCATCCTCTCTCGTCTTATCGCCGTCTCATCCTGCCTCTGTTGCTGAAGCAAGAGCTTCATCTGTCATCGAACGGGCAGGAACGACGGGCCAAAGCAGAGAAAGAGAGAATTGAACAGCCATTACCGACTGGTTCGACTAGCTAACTCATTTGGATCGCTGCTGCTGCTGCTGCTGCTCATTACCGTCGCCGTAGCTAAAAACGACGCATTTTTCTTTTTTCATTCTTCTAAAATCGAATTCAGCAAAAGGGAAATAGAGTTCATTAGCTGCTCGGTAAGTCAGAATTATCATATATTCCAGTGACGGTAAAAAGGCAAACAAAAAAAAGTTAACAGCTAACCCTCTTTGGGCTCTGGGATCTTCTTCTTCTTCTTCTTTAGATCTTCTTCTCAGCTCAGCTCATTCTATTAGCATCTATCTAATTAATATGCCCCGCGCCTAATGCAGCGGCGGCAGTTTAGCTAATACCCTTTTGGGTACTATCTCCTCGGCGCTATCTGCAGGCAGGCGGCAGGCAGCCCATTTGCATAGGCGCATTTCCCTAACAAAGTTGACTAATTTGCCACTGACACATTAGTGTCATCACATCACCACACCGGGGACATCACCACCACCACCAGGGCTGGTAATGCTCTTCTGATGTAATGGCGTAATGTTCGGTATGTAACGAAATTTGTAATGTGTCTGTCTGCCGGGCGATATGAGGAGTGCTGAAGAGTACACGAGGCCACGAGTGGTAATGGTAATCATTTTTTCTCTTCTTCTTTGGCCAATTTCTCCTAGATTGTAACCCTTCCTATTGCTGATGATGATGATGATTGCCACTACCACCACTACTACTACTAGACTTTACCATATGGCTAAAAAGAAGAGGAAAAAGTGGATGAAAATGCATATGATAGGAGGGTAGAATTGTCAGCCGTTTGCAGCACGTTGACAGCAACAGACGGCAAAAGAATTAGAAATAGAACACAGACACACACACACCGAAGCACCAGACAGCAACGACTCTAATTGGAAGATAGATTAGCCGCCATATTGTGAAGTAGTAGCAGCGAGGGGGTATTAAGAGAAACAGAAATGAACAAAGTCTCGCTAACAGCAGCGGGTACCGACCTGACTCATCGTAGCAGGGATCCGTCTGTACGGAGCCGGTGGCTGAGTAGAAGGGCAGCAAAAGAGATCCACCAGAGGATCCGCCGCCGTTGATGGAAGACGCCTGGACACTAAATAGAAACAACAGCAACAGCAGCACGTGACATGAAGAAGACCGAGAAGAAGAAGAGGCGGTGGCGCCCATTTTGACTGCTAATGCTGTGTTCACGTTGTTGATAGTTTGTTTTTTGTTGTTGCTCGCTTGAGCTGGTAAATTAGGTGAACACAACCAAGCACACTCAGTTGGATGAGCAGCAGCAGCTTTTGGTCGTGCCGAAGCAAAGCTCGCCTTGGTGATGAGGGGGCAGTGATGACAACAGCTTGCGGTGATGGCTCGTTTAGTGTGGTGGTTCGTTGACACGGTCACAGCCAGAACAGAAGCAGAAGAAGAAGAAGAACGCAAAGTTCAGTCGATGATTAGCTTGGCTTCGGTGGTTGTGGTGGTGACTGTGGTGATTGTGGTGACGATGAGTAGCACAGTAGCTGAGGACAAGCAGTGGCAGAAAAGGCAAAAAACAACGGTGGCACACAAACAGCAGCACTCACAGACCAAGCTCATTCATTCTATTCATTGATGCACTCTGCACACCCGATGAATGACACTGTTGTGTTGTTGTGGAGGAGTATGGAGTAGTAGGGGAAGAAGATGTGGATGAAAGGGGATAAAGAGATGACGATGATGACAAGCAGAGAAAGAAAGGGAGATCACTTTTGGGTGGCTCGGAGATTTTTGATGACACTTGCCTGGCACTTGGCGGCAGCTTTGGCTTTGGCAGTTGTAGCAAACAGAGCCCAGACACCACGTGATGAGACTTTAGAGGGTGACTTGAGAGAAGTTGAAAAGTAAAAGTCGAATCTGTCGATCAGACAGAAGGCAGACGACGAAGGAGAAAGAGAGAGCGAAAAAGATGTCGGCGGCGAGATAAGAAAACAGCAGTGAATAAACAAGAGCACCGAGAGTCGTCAAAGTCACTCGTTTGTTTACCGAAGCAGAGAGCGAGAGAATCGATCGAAAGCGAAATCGAAAAAACATACGTTGTAGTGGGCCACACTGTTTTCCAGTCGTGGTTGACGACGATGATGATGATGAGAGGGGGTCTTATGAGTCAGCTATGAGCATCGGCCTGTCCAGCGAGGAATAATAATGAGAGAGAGTGTGATGCACGTCCACCACTGGCGATCACTTGGAAAGTGAGGGCGAAAGCGAGAGGACCAAAGTGGCTGAAGTTTGGACGGTGATCCAAAGCAGACGCTGACTGACTGACTGAATGAACGAGGGTGCAGTGAGCTGCTGCTGCTCAATGTCCGAGCTGTGAAGGAGAGTGTCGGGGACCACTGGGGACACCTTTTGCGTTTGCCTTGTTTCGAACGGGCACCGAAACCGAACTGAACTGAACCGATCCGAGCGAATGCCGGCGAGAATGTGTGATGGCTTCGGCGGCGGTGCTTTACAGCTTTGCAGAGCCGTTCTCTCACTTCAAGTTCTATTTTGCCTCCTCCTCTTCTCTCCTCGTTCTTCTCTGCTCGTTAGCTCGATCTCTCGCTCTTTATTTCTCTCTCTCTCTCTCTCTCTCTCTCTCTCTCTCTCTCTCTGCCGCTTCAAAGCCTCCAGAGAACAGCCGCCGCTGCCTCTATCTTTCTACTTTGGTCCCCGAGTACACACAGCTAAGGCTGAAGCTGAAGCTGCAGACTGCCTGGCACCAGCAGGGCAGCAGCAGTCGGTCTTTTTGGTCGGTCAGTTCTCTTTTCGGTGATGACGATGACCATGTCCGGCGACCAGCAGCCTGTCCTGAGGTGTTAGAGTGAGTGGTCAGTCAGCTAATCAGTGTGATTTCCCTCTTCCTTTTTCTGGCTGACCATTTACCTCCTCGCAACTACCACCACGACGACCACCACTTTAATGGCTCATTAGTGATGACATTAGTGCGACGATTCGGTGGAGTGTCGTTTGAACGTCGTCGTTTGGCCTGGCCTTGGTCCACCATGCTCATCTGCGGCCATCTCTTTGAGCTTGCCTGCCCATGCCTGCCCTGGCCATTGTTCAATCCCTTCTCTCTTTATTCTCATTCTTCTCCGACCCCTTTGTCTCTCTCTCTCTCGTTTGAGCAGGAGCTTAAATTTCCTCCTTCTCTGG